GGTGCTATAGCCCAGTACTTCTCAAACTACAACGTGCGTACAAATCATACGGTCAAACGCAGGTTCTGCTTCAGCACTCTGGACAGCTCCCAGCGGTGCAGGTGCTGCTGGTCTGGGGACCAGATCGAGGGGCGGGGCAATAGCTGTCAGAATGATTTCATGCCTCCTCCCATTGTCCTCTCTAGTACGGGCTCGCTACCACAAAACTGTTTAGACGTATTAGAAAAAGATCTCGATATCTGTTCCTTACCACTCCCGAGAGAACATGTTTTAAACAATAACTGGAAAAAACCTCAACTGTTTCTTCCAACACTGCTGACAAAAGTCATAAATCTGAGCCAATTATACTGAAGAACTTTGATTTCAACTTGGCTTTAGGTACCTATGTTTAAAAAAGAGCCCCTTCTACCTAAAAGTTCTTTGCTTTTTTTTTTTTTTTCGGAATGCGGTCCTCTGACTGTTGTGGCCTCTCCCGTTGCGGAGCACAGGCTCCGGACGCGCAGGCTCAGCGGCCATGGCTCACGGGCCCAGCCGCTCCGCGGCATGTGGGATCTTCCCGGACCGGGGCACGAACCCGTGTCCCCTGCATCGGCAGGCGGACTCTCAACCACTGCGCCACCAGGGAAGCCCAAGTTCTTTGCTTTTTATGCTGGCATGTTCTAATTCCTGGTTTCTTGATCGATGAATGAAATTTACAGTAGTTTTTATTTCAGAGGCTGGAAATAAAAATCCTTCTGTAAGCTTTCAGACTCCTTCACTGGGCAGAGTTAAGTCCCAGGAAGTGCTAAGTGTTAGACCTTTGCAACTCAGTGACTGAGTATGGAATAACAATTTGTGTCTTCGTTATCTCAGTTCCGAAGGCTCATAAGCAGTGTTTTTCCGATAACAATGAACAAAACTCAACCTCACACAAGGTGGGCTCACCGCTCATCGATGGTCCGCCTGCGCCTGCTGTTGGAGTTTTTTACCCTCTGAATCAACAAAGAAAAAGCTCATTTGTTTCACTTTGTGAAACCTCTTCATTTTTCTCTCAGACTTTCCATTTCACGCTTTGTGAATTTTATTAAGATCTCTTTCACAGAAGCTAAGTGCTGGCTCTGTGGAGCCCTGAGGGATGGCAGTCACAGCCTCTATAATTTCTGAAGCCTCTTGAAACACTTCTTTTCTACTAAAACTCCTTGGAGAATCATAAGATGGAATCTAAAATCTTTTTGGTGCTGGAAGACAGGGGTTGGCCTCCTGAGCATTTTGTGCAAACCTTTTGGTGTTATAGCCTGAAAACAGCAACACAGCAGTCCAGTTAAGGTCCAGTTTCTGATTGGGAACATCATATTGATATTCACTGGGTCTTTCTGAAGGCCTCCAATTATTTTTAAAAGCTGGTTTAAAATGTTAATTTAAAATATGTTTTATTTTAGAATGTCTTTATTAATAAAACGAAACCATAATCCTGTTGCCTGAGAAATTGTCAGTGGCTTTAGTCCAATAAAAAAACTATGTTTTAAAAGGTAATTATAGTTAAATAATTGAAAAGGAATTTGTATTCTGATTTTCGTTTCCTCTTGAATTTACATTATAGGAAATTTAGGGAGTTCCCTGGTGGCCTAGTGGTGAGAATTCCAGGCTTTCACCGTCGTGGTCCAGGTTCAGTCTCTGGTCAGGGAACTGAGATCCTGCCAGCCCTATGGAATGGCCAAAAAAATGTTTTAATGTTATTATGTGCTCTCAGAAATGACATAGTAACAGTTGTATAATAGTCCATCAGATAAAAATATTATATTTAAGCCAACCATTTCTCTATGGTGGATATTGAGATTAGTGCCATACTTTCTCTATGATGAAAATAATGATAGCTAACATTTTTGAGCACTTAATATCTGCTAAGTAACACTATAAATATTGTATCAAGTCTCTTCACTGTCGTAAGGATCTGATGAGATGGGTATTGTTATTTTTCCTGTTAGAGATGTGCAAAGGAGGTACAGGCAAGTTAGTCAGCTTGCTTAAGGTCACACTGCTGGTAAGTGGCAGGGCCAAGTTCAGACAAATATTCTCACATCCAAATGGAGTCTCCTCTCTGCCATGTTATTTCTTAGGCTATACTGAGATTTACGTAAGGATTCCTCAGTTTAAGTAAAAGCTTCAAACTATGTATGCAAATCCTTAAACTAAAAAATTCTTCTCCTTGGTTCCTACTACATGAGTATAAAATTGCAGATTTTTTCTTAAGTTCTTAACATTTCAAGAGCTATCAAGTCATAGGAGACAGTGCTATGATATCAGAGTGAAGGCTGTTAAAGAAAACAACTATTTGCTTTTATGCTTTAAATATTGGTAAGACATGCACTGTAATAACTGACAGCACTTTTGTCTGTTCTTTCACACTGTTGTGAACACTTCATCTTTAAAAATCCAAATGTGCATGGATTTTCACCCTTAGTTTCATTCTCATGCACCATTTAAAGATGCATTGGTTGGTTGGTTCCTTGGTTGGTTTGGTCAAGGATGAATCTGCTTCACTCACTCCTATGAAAATCAAGGTGAGGGGGATGACAGGGTGAGGGCATCTTTTACATGGAGAACTGTTACTCACTTGAACACATGAAGACCCATCTCTTTC